GAGAGGCAACTGGCACAGCTCACAAAACGATTCACGTGAACAGAGGCTCATTCCCCCCTCCTCTATTTACTCACTTCAGGAAGAACAAGAACCATGGTTTTCCAGGTCACATTCTAGGTATGTGGGGTCCCGTGGGGTTACTGAATAAACGATTAGATGACAGTAACTCCCCACACAGCTGGGTCCCTTAAGACAAAGTGCAACACAGCAAACAAAGGCTTGATCAGCAGCAGGATCAGAAATTTTAAAGAGACACCTTTTCAACAGTTTCGTTGCACTCAGAAGGCTATTATTTTAAAATGTCCTATGATGCACTTATGAAAGTCACTTGTTTCCCATGAGAGGAAAAGTTTATAGAATTGAGAAAAAGAAGGTCTTAACCAAACCACTTCGCCATCATCAGGACAAAGATTTCTCTGGTGCCCCTTCTGGCTTCTCCTGTGACAGGCAACATGTCTCTCAGCCTGCGTCTTGTCTTTAAATCTTGGTCCATAAATGGATCTGCACCTGGCCGTCACCCCTTGGTCTAAACCACCCAAACACAGATAACATGCACAGAGCATGTTCCGGAACTTTCCATGATCTAAGGATGACATCCTCACGACAGCCTCTGAGGGAGATACTAACCCACCAGAGGCCACAGATGAGGCGGCTCAGTAACACACCCGGGGTTCCCTGGTAAACAAAGAAGAGAAAGACAGAGCCCACACACAAAAAGTGGCTCCAGGCCCTCCTAGACCTGCCTGCCACCGCTCGCTTGGGTGTCCAGCTGGCGGCCTCGCCATCTCTCCTCAGGGTGCGCCGCCACGTAAACCGCTGATGCTGAGCAGTCCTCAGCAGAAGTCAGCACAGTCTTCATAACACCACATATTCCAGCCAGAGATGTCTTTGTCATTGTTTTCAGGACTCTGCTATGTAAAGGGTCCGTGAAATACTCAGGAATCAGGGAGGAATTCATCTCCAAACTCGAGTGACACAGCAAACAAGCCTCTGGGTTAGAGGGACAAGGCGAGCAAGTCTTAAGACATAAAAGCTGGACAAAGAGGGGAGGGACCAGCTCCACCTGCCTCGGGAGCAGAGAAGACAAACGAAGTCAACAGAGCAGGAGAGGCTCGGCTACTCCACCACACAGCATCCCTTACAGCGTCCAACCTGGGCGCACACCACTGAGGTGGCAGAACCTTCCTGTGAGGTGATGAGACAGAGATAAGAGAAGCTGGTGATACTGAAAGAGAAACAAAAACAAAAGATCCTCACCCTCTAAAAACCCTACCTCTAACAGAAGGAAAACTGACGTCACTAAACACAGAATAGGTACATCTTTAACTCCAAAATCATTCTCACAGGATGTTTCCTTGAGATAACCCACGTAGCAGAGGAGTGTGTCCTCCTGTTGTGGCCAACATGTCTGACCGCCACCTGCGCCCAAGCCCACTGCCAAGTCTGCAGGAACCCACACCTGCCAACAAATATACTGTCAGCTCCCTGTGGGGGCAGAGGCCACTTCGACACCTTCTACTATTTTTACTGTCACACAGCTTCAACAATTCACCAGCAAAATTCTTACTCTTACTCTAGTAGCATTAAAACGTCTTCATCTACCTTTTGTCGAAACAAAAGGTTTTCCTAGATTCTGATACTTGCAGTTTTTCTTTACTGTCTTATTAGCTTGTAATCATGTCATCGAATCTACCTTAACATGGACTCACTTCTCATATTCAAAGTGAGACAGGATGAGAATATTAGAAGACCTTAGGGTCTATCCACTGTGAAAGAAAGAAAGGCCTATTGTACTTGTCACCCATACGCCCTTCTGTCACCAGATGCACTCAGATGACTGCTGCTACCCTTGTAACTGTCCTCTTCCTGCTCACTCTCCGCACCCCATCATTGGCTCCCGACCATTCGGCCCTCCTGACCACTGGTGGCGAGTGCCCATGGAAAAGTTGGGGACAAGACACCAGGCAGCCACGGCCTGGCCGAGGACGCAGCCCACGGGCCCGCAGAGGTGTGAGCACTGCAGCCGGGGCTTGGGCCGTCCAGCAGAGGCAGCTGTCCTGTGCAGTGTGGGCCGTTCAGAGCTCCCGGGGTCTCCGTATGGCTTCCAAGTCTGACTGTCAGTCTCTGTCGCTCATTCACACCCGTACCTTAGTCCGAGAGTCATGGCTCACAGACACAAAATCCCAACTTCCTGTGTCCTCCTGGTCACATTACTCAACAACCCTTTTAGAAATCCGGTTTCCACTGCTAAACTGTCTTGTAAGTCATGAAGTTGCTGAGATACCCTTTCAGAATATTGTATGTGCTTCGGGAAATCCTACCCCTTCAGTGAAACGTTTCTGAATGGAGAAATACTATTCTGTGTGATCCCGTCTTGCCCAAACATGAATCTTCCATAACTCACTTCTCATGAAACAGCCTAATAAATGGCACTTGTTAACCATACACAAGCCTTCCTATTTATTTATTAATACTTCCTAATCCCCTATTGTGACTAAGGGATTAATAAATTCCTTCTATATGACCCCAACCAGGAGGGACTTAAATATGGTATAGATGGTGGGTTTACCAACACTGCTAGAAAGTCCTGATGAATTAGAGGCTACTTCCACTCCAAACTACTTTATTTTGATAACTGAAACAATTTATCATTGAACACTAAAGTCTAACACTAATTTTTTCTTCAGAAACTATGTAGTAATTACTGATTAGTCTCAGTTTAAAACTGCTAATTCTAGATGAACAAAAGGATTTTATATAAAATGTGAATTGAAAAATGTATACTATTAATTCTTTTCACATAAATTCTTAGGGAAAATATTACTGAATGCCATAAGAAATGTTAGGAAATTTTTTATCGGGCATTTCAAAAAAACGCCTCTGCGCTTCTTGTTTACAGCTATTCCAACACTGAGCGACTCCATGGACAACTCAGCATTCACTATGGGAAACCACCTCACTGAGACCAACTGCAAGAGGATCGCCTCAGCTGTAGTACGCGCTGCTCCAAACACTCAAGGCAGAAAAATCAGCAAATACGCTGCTCCTCCTGCGAAGCCAGCCCAACGCAGCGCAGGTCGCCCACTGACCCCGTAGCTGCAGGGGGGGCGGCAGCGAGCGGGCCAGCTGCAGAGGTGACAAGAGGACACCGGACCGGAGGCCGCGGAGGGGCCGGCGGGGGCGGCGGGCGGGGCGGGGAGGGGAGGGGCGCCGGGCCTCAGCCCAGGGCATCCCCGAGGCTGCGTCTGTCTGTCTCGGCAGGCCGGCCAGAAGCCCCGCCTTTGGAAGGGAGCCCCGCCAGCCTGGTGAGGGGCGCCGAGGAGGACCCGAGGGAGGCCCGCCGGGCAGGGGCACTGCGCACCCAGCAGCCGCACACGGGACCTGGGAGGAGCCCGGGGCGTGGTGGGCGCGTCCTAAACTCGCGGGTCCCCCGCCGCCACCCCGGGAGGCGACCATGTGCGGCGCTCGCCGAGACACGCACACTAACGCCCACAGCCGCCCGCACCAGAAGCCGCAGCCCAGGCCCCCGCCCTCCCGGCGTCCGCTGTTCGGAGGAGGCTTTAGGAAGACGAGGAACGGCTCCTCAGAAAAGAACGGCGCGCGCGCAGACAAACCCAAACCGGGAGGGTCGCGGCGGCTGGAATCGCGCAGCCCCAGGCCGGCCCGCAGACCCCGCCCGGGAGCGCGGCTGCTCAGGGCCTCCGGAGGCCGGCGAGCCGAGGGCCAGAGGGCGGCGCGCACGGGCCACGCGGGGCCGGCGGGCGGCCTCCTCCTGCAGGGCGCGTCCCGCTGCAGATTTCCACCAAGAATGAATCCCTGTGTGGTCGAGCGAGCAACAACTGCTCGTACGAAACACTGAGTACGGTCGGAAACGCGAACGAGCGACGTGGAGAAATCCTTTTTGTACAACACAACTCCGCTGACTCACGTTTCTCCCGGCTCCTCAATTCTTGACCACTTCGACAAGGCCGAATCAAATCTCGGCTCCATCGTCTGGAGGAGAACTGATGGGGCCCCTGCGGGCAGTGAGTAGGCATCTGAACGGGAGCTCAGAAAACCACGGAGGAATTGGTCTCCATGCGCGCCAGCGGCGACGCCTCCGGAAACACGTGGCCCCAAGGAGCCCCTACTGGTGACACACGGTGCCCTGGCAAACTCCGACGGCCCAAACCTAGCAGGTGAGACCACCTCAGGCTTAACTTTATGTAATCCTCCCAACTGTTTGTCCTTTGGATAACAATTTTAAATGCCTAAAAGCCATTACAAGGAAAATCTTTCCAGTCTCAAAGAGCCATTAAAAACCCAAAATTAACAGCTTCATGAACCATCACTTTCACTTTGCCTAATAGAAGGAAGGTAATAAAGCACAGAGTAATTAATCTTTAGACAAATAAAAGCAAAAACTAAATGGAATACATGGCTAAGATCTTTTCCTTTTAAATGTAGGCCAAGATAAAAATCTCTTGTAAAAATATGTCATTAACACAACAAGGCTTTTCTGGAGTTCTATTTTGTATAAATTTCCTTTTTTCTATTAGGCATTCTTCCTCTACTAAGCAGGGCTCATGCTCTGTGAAAAGCTGGCAGTAGCAAATGCACGGGAAAGGATCGGGTGGAGACCCCATGGGAAAGCTCCTGCTCTTCCTTCTATCTCTGGCACGGTAACATCCAGGCAGATTCCAAATCCGTGTGGTTTGGTGAAATCTCTGGAGACAGGAGTGGCGTGTGGCTAAGCAGCTCCTAGCGAAAGCACGTGGGTGGTGTGGCCAGGTCCCACAGAACCTGCAGAGGCACCTCTGTGACCCAGGACAGCAACGTTGGAGAAACTCCTCATCACTACTGTTTTTCTCCTGAACTCACTCCTTGTGTTTTTTCCTACACAGCAAATAAGCACAACTTCATGCAGTTGCCAAAAGCATCTTAAATATTTTATACTTAAAATCTTCAAAACACAGTCAACCCAGAGCATCACCAAAGTGGCTTTGAAATAAAGTACTCACTCTGACCACATAATTGAACCTTCGGATATCCTGAATTGCACTGGAGAAGTCTAAGCGGTTAAAGGCCTCTCCCAAGGTACAATAGCTGTGCCTCTGGAAAAACAAACACAAAACAGCGAAAATTTGCCAAATCAGCCAATTAATCAAAATGAACTGAGAGTTAACGCAAATTAGTCTGTTTTGGCGAAGGGCATTTGTTTATATTCTGAAAGTTTACTCCATGTTTAGATGAAAGTAAAATTATAGCAATGCTAAGTTTGTCATTTATGCATCATCAAGACACTACACATTGACATTTTTACACCACTGTTGATATAATGACAAAGGCAAATACTTATTAAATATCATCGATTTCTTTTGTTGGGGACGTGTTTGGGAGAGGACAAAATTAAGCCTAAAATCATAAACTAACTAGATGTATTCTAGGCTTTGCAGCTACAGATACCTAAATGATCTGCCTGGCATTCTGAGGATGTCTCTGTTCTAAATATACAAGTTGAAACAGTGGATTCCTCTGCAGGGACCCATGCATCCCACAGGTCTGGAAGCACGCCCCACCACATGGGGTCAAGGCGGAGAAGCACCTGGGAGGGGGCCCTCTCCAGGTAGGGAGGGCAGGAGGCAGGGGACAGGACCATGGGCAATTCCCAGGCTGGGAGCAGGGGATGCCCGGCACCCAAGAAGGTGGGAATCAGACCCCAGGTCCAAGAGTCAAAGACGACAAACAAAACACAAATAATAGTACCGAAAACACTGCTATTCTCTCTCAGATATTGTTCCTTAATGACCCTGTGTTCCTTACAGGTTTGTCCAGATTTGTACATTACGTTTCAGGAGTCATTTAACACTTGATTTTATGTATTTGAAACACTTAGACGATATACAGAGGTTTTTGACTCACTTGTGGGGATGGATAAACTGGACAATCACAGAAAACACAAGAGGACAGAGTATTCCTCACATCTGAGACAGATGGCAGCAGAGGGTCTGGAGAGGGCAGCTGGAGTGGAAACACCTTAGTCTCACAAATCAGCGAAACGTATTTATTAAAACATTCAATATTTTTACTGATATCTACTATGTGCAAAATATTTTCCTGGGAGCTACGGGGGAAGCAAAGGTTAATTAGATATAAATGATAATCTGCAATCAATCACAGCTGATATTTTTACTTTAATTTCTTTCTCTTCTCAATGAACAGAATTCTAAATGCTGTTCTAGCAGACCCCTTTCCAGGTAGCCACCCATCTCACAATGGCGTCTTCTTTTTTGGAGAATTAAATCTGATTCACAGAGTAGACCACAAGTAACATGTCTGAACTACAGGGGCACACCCACCTTTGTGGGGGCCTGGAACCACCGTGGAGCCTCAGAGGCTATGGGGCAGCCACAGTCGGCCATGCAGACAAAGCAGCAGAGACCCCGGGCCTGCATCTGGTGGGAAGACTACAGATGTATGCTGAGACACAGAGAAGGGCTGGAGAGAGCCGGCTCTCAGTTCTGGGCTCTGACCCCTTCCTGAGCCTGCTTACATCCCTATTCCCAGGACCCATGCAGCATCCCTGAAGACCCACAATAAACCCCCCTTCTGTCGCTTATGCTGGCCTACATCAGATGCTCTGTTCCATAATCAGTGTGGTGATACAGAGCAAAGGAAACATTTCAGTCTTTCATAAGCTCAAACCAGGATAGATTCTGCCCGACATTCTAATGGTCCCAGACTGTGTGGTAAGGATCAGAGTAGTTTCTTTAACAATAACTTAACAATATTCACCATCGCCAAATAGGTCAAACAAGTTTTCTGTCTCAGAATGTAATCCTTAAGCTTCCCGGAGGTTGCACTAGTTTTCAGAACATCTGCCATTAACACTTCTGGAACATTTAACTTATGCTAACATCATATATGCTGAACACCTGCTCCCTAAATTATTTCCCCCAACTGCGGCAAAACAAGGAATGCAGAGTTTCTCAGACTGCAGAAGGAGGTAAGCTTCTCTGGATGCTAAGTAGAGAATAAGGAAACATACGGAACCTGACATGAACTGATGGTTTGACAGCTCATAAAAACACTTCAGCCAACTGGCAAAGGAAAGGAGGAAAAGGGTTCAGACTGCTCTTGCAGACTCAGACTCAATTACTAACGTCCTCTTAGCTGCTCCACCCATCACAAGAGGGTCACAAAGTTCTCACCATCCTAGAACACAAGGGAGCTAGGACGCATCCCTGTGAGCACCAGAGGCTCACTACTAACAGGGGAGAGGAGAACCTAGGGATCCACACTCGTTCTGAAATAGCTCTGCTGCTGATTCAGACTTGTACCAGGGTGCTAACCACACACCGCGCACACACGTACACACAAACGAGAATCACTGTTTTCAAGATCCTCGTATGCTTTCATCTATGAGAATGTGAACCAGAGATTTGATATTGCAAAAGAATTTACTTAATGTGACATTACATATTCAACAGAAACAATACAAAATATACTCATTTATAATAGAATACTTACTTCTCTTGTGCTTTCTTTATGGACATAGATCCATTTTTCACGATAAAAACCTAGAATAAAAATTAACTTTGTTTTTAAAATCTGGTGAATCATTTCAAAATTAAGATTTTAAGAAACTTCAATAGTTGCATATGCTAACAAAATTATCTGACTTATATAGATAAGGAATGCTTTTACTTGGTTAAATGTTAACAGAATTGCTTTGTTTTCTAACAGTTTAAGACGTGATGAAACATATTTATATGTAAGCAAGTCCTGGTAATTTAGAAGAAAATAGGTATTATAATGACTGTGTAATATCAAAACATAAATGGCTATATAAATGCAATTATTAATCAATTCTATTAATAAAAATCCTATTCTTTTACTGCCTTTATATAGTATTCCATTTAAATAAATTTTTTCACATAACTAGAATCCCAAAGCTTCAAGGATCAGGATGACTATTCTCCATGGGACCCCATCTTTTTCAGGAGACTGAACACACTAAACCTCTTTTCAGTGACTCATGGTTGTATCATAATGCAGACAGGGGCCCTTCCACAGGTGAGTTACTCCCTCCAGGCTCCCCAACTCCATCCAGCCTAAGCTGCTTCCGGGTGTTTCTGATGCGGCTCTGCCCATGTCTATCTCCTGCTCCAAACCAGCAGCGCCCCCTGCAGGAAAGCCCGAAGTCCAGATGCCTCATTGTTTGGCCTCACTGCTTGGGAGTGAACCGATGACCTAAGCTCATGACGGCTAGTCAGTCATTCAGATGTTCTGTGGGTTTTGCTGCTTTTGTTTCGTTTTTGCAAATCTTACCAAAGAAAATGGTTGAGCTGGAAAAAGTCTGATCATTAAGTCAGCGGGCAACACTGGTTACAGTGCTGTTATCTATACATATCTGTCCCATCTTTTATTTCATAACACTACCAAAGCAATTTAGTATATCAACATATTCAACAAGTAAAATATAAAATTATTAATGAAAATGATCTTACATTGAGTATTTCTGTCATTTCTAAAATGGTCCTTTTTCCTTTTTTTAGATGCATATTCCTGCTCTTCATTATTGAATATTTCTTCATCTTCACTATTTAAGATACTGAAATAAAGATACATTTTATTAAAATATTTTTACAGGGAGTTCTTCATTTGGCATTTCTTTTGTAAAAAAAACAAAAAGGTAATAAATATTTGGTGTTCACTTCAGGAGACCAAAATAAAAATCGTGTTAAATTCTGGAAGTAACCAGTTAATCTTCAAAGTGATGATCACAGGTTTGAAATTACTATGCTAATATCTAATACATTTTTTTGAGAAATCTGAGATTCATCTTGTCTCTTTTGAGAATGTTATACCAGGAAGTGCTGAAATGTTTTAGTCTCCCAAGGACTCTGATATGCTTAACCAAGATAGTTTCAAACTTCAAAATGCTTTATCAAAGCACAGAGATTATAAACACTCTGGAAGAAAGCTAAAGTGACAGATGCCATGATAACTGGTGCTAGGGACTTGCCATGTCCCTGGCCCGACGATGGGCAAGCACTCAGCACTTCTGTCTGTCGCCCATACTGTCAGAGACCTAACCAGGACCATCACCGCACTGCGACACTTCCTCACTGAGCATCAACCAGATAATGCTAACTGTTAAGGCACTTAACCGAAGCCAGAGGAAGCAGAACATTCATGTTTCCCATTTAAATGCACTAATTAAAAGCTTTCCCAATTTTTCTTTTTCTTTTTGATGAAATAAGGAAATAAAATCATAAGGCAATAAGTAAACAACTTGAACATATTTTCTTTTAAAAAAATAGTTTCTTCCTTGTAGTAAAAAAAAAAAACTATGTAAACAGCAGTCCACCCCCTCAGAACTAAAGGTGCTCACAATTTTTATTTTCAACACACTGAGCTGTTTTCGGTCTGAAAGCAAGCAGGGGGCTCTGTGAAGACGAGCTTGCTAGCACAGGTCCAGGGACTGATGCCCAGCACCAAGGAAGTAACCTTGTTTATTTCCCCATCATTGCTCTTTGAACAAGAAAATCATGCAACAGCTCCTTCCACTAACCAGTATTGACTTTTAATAAAAACAGCTGAAGTTACCAAATGACTCTATTTACGACTGTCAGAACAGACTTAAATGGCTTTGGCAACAGTTGTAAATCATCAAGAGAAGCAAAAGCGCATTTAGAAAAACAAACAATTTAACATTCAGCAGCAGGCATTAAATAACACCAATTCATGAAAATTGTTCATCCTGGTTGTAGCTCACATTTAATCTTACACTGGTTTGTTGTCATTGATTCAAATACTGAATGTAGAAGCTTTCAAATCTGAACAGCTTTTCTAACTACAGACATTCAGGAAAAAGAGAAATACACTGTTCTCAGAAATAGTGTCAGTGACATGAAATCAGGCTGCGGGAGGAGAGGAGGGTTGCAACGACCTCACCAGGAGGCGGGAGGGGCGCTGTGAGCCTCAGCTGGGCGCTGGAAAGCCTAGAGCAGAGAACAGGGAGCTAGGAAATGCCCTGACATGTCTGAGCCGCCCAGACTCAAATGCTCCTGTCTGAAGGGAGGAGACAGTCCCATCTTATCCCTGCTGACACAGGCAGGGCTGGCTGCAGAAACCACTTCCTTCTCAAAAACATGATCACAACCGTGTGGGCCATGGCTCCCCGAGAGCTCCCCATGCTGGTGGACACCGAAGCTGGAGTCGACCTGCCTGGGCAGCGAGGAAGCTCAGCGACCTCAGAGTGAGGCCCAGATCCTCCCAGACACAGCTACAAGCCTGGGTCCACAGGGACAATCAAGGCAAATGGCTTCTTTAAGGAAACTCAGATGCTGACTTTACAAAATATTTTAAACCAGGAAAAAAGCTGTACTTTTTTGGTGGTAGTTGTTATACTCACAAGTTAAAAAAAGTAAAAGTAAGAAAAAAAAAAGCTTCCAAAATTAAAATTCAACATCTAAAAATGTGAATTAAGCAGTGTTTCATGTTGTACAAGTCTTTCCATTTCACGTGTATATAAACTATTGGTCAAACACATTTCAAGGCAAATCCATCACGGACTCTGACTTAAAAATCAGTGAGGGGCCGCCCGGTGGTGCAGCGGTTAAGTGCACACGTTCCACTTTGGCGACCCGGAGTTCACGGTTTGGACCCCGGGTGTGGATATGGGACCGCTTGACACTCCATGCTGTGGCAGGTGCCCCACATATAAAGTAGAGGAAGATGGGCACATATGTTAGCTCAGGGCCAGGCTTCCTCAGCAAAAAGAGGAGGATTGGCAGCAGTTAGCTCAGGGCTAATCTTCCTCAAAAAAATAAATAAATAAATAAAATAAAAAATCAGTGGAACCCTCAACAACAACAAAACAACCTGATTAAAAAATGAACAAAGGACTTGAATAGACATTTCTCCAAAGACATACAGGTGGCCAATAAGCACATGAAAAGAGGCTCAACATCACTAATCATCAGGGAAATGCCTTCCAAAACCACAATGAGATACCTCACACCTGTTGAGATGGCTACTATCAAAAAACCAGACAATAACAAGTGCTGACAAGGATGTGGGAAAATTGGAACCCTTGTGTACTGTTGGTGGGAATATAAAATGGTACAGCCTCTGTGGAAAACGATCTGGCGATTCCTCAAAAAATGAAACACAGAATTACTACATGATCCAGCAATTCCACTTCTGGGTACATACACAGAAGAAGTGAAAGCAGGTCTCCAAGAGATGTTTGTGCTCTCATGTTCACAGCAGCACAATTTATAGTAGAAAGAAGGTGGAAGCAATCCAGGTGTCCATTGACAGATGAATAGATAAACAAAATGTGGTCCATCCATACAATGGAATATTGTTCAACCTTAAAGGGGAAGGAAATTCTGATACATGTTACAACATAGATGAACCCTGAGAATATGATGCTCAGTGAAATAAGCCAGACATGAAAGGACAAAGACTGTATGATTCCACTTACATGAAGTACTTAAGAGGAGTCAAATTCACAGAGACAGAAAGCAGAATGGTGGGTGCCAGTGGCTGGGGGAGAGGAAAGGGGAGTGAGTGTTTAATGGGGACAGACCATCAGTTTTGCAAGATGAAAAGAGTTATGAGGATGCACAGTGGTGATGGTTGCACAACAATGTGAATGTGCTTAAGACGACTAAACTGTACACTTAACAATGGTTGAGATGGTAAATTTTATGTTAGGTGTATTTTACCACAATTAGAGAAAGAGCAGCATGCTCATCAAGTCTCGGGAGGATGTCTGGAGTGTGTGTTGGGCAAAGAGGAGGGAAGAAGGAAGCCTTAAAACACAAGCAAACAATGGACCCTCACACAATATGACAAGGTGAAAATACAGGGGACAGATGTACGTGCAAGAACCACAGAAGGTCTATACATTTTATAGGGTCTCACTTATGAAGCTGATGGTTTTTAACACTCACATCCACAGCCAAGTATCGCACCAGCACCCTCTTTCTCGGGAACGTGCCTACAGGCAACAGAGCCTGAGGGTTTTCTAATAAACACTGAGGGCGCACGACTTCCCCTACCTGGCATTCATTTCCAATCAAGAAACGGAAGAATGTAGAGAAGAGTCATCCAAACAACTCCTAATAGAAACAACCTATGGCCGAGCAAAGAAATTCTCCTGGTAATTTAACTCTAGAAGTCAGCTAGCAGCTTTAACACTGTCCATGTGTGCCCTAATATCTCCGAATGTTATAACCTCATCCCAGTGGTGACCTGTTAGAAAACTGACATCTTCCTGAAGAGGCAGATAACACCGCCTTGAGCTCCATTTCCCACACCACTCTAGGGTTCACTGTGGTCTGTGAGGTACTGTGCTATGATGGGCTGTCGTCTTCCCATCATTCTCACACACTTCGGGGGAAATAAGACAAGCGAGGGTAAGCCTCTAGTTTTGAAAATGGCTGATAGGATAGTCGTTCTAAGCTGTGGTGCTCTAAGATACGTCACCAAAGTTTTGTTTCTAGCAAGAAAATTACCAAAATTTGTGAATGATTTAAGTATTAAAAACTATAAAATGTACTGCATGTGATAAAAAAAATCAAGTGAGTACAAAACAAAAAGTCTCCCTTGCCAATCTCACATCCAAATTGGCTGAAGTGGATTTTTTTGGCTGCTCTGGTTACTAATTTTGTAATTCCAAAAACCAGGCATATACCTCTACATCTTGAGTTATCTATAAAAAACAAGGAACTAACCTCATTACTACCCTCCTCTCCATTGGGGTTGGCACTTTCTCACTCAACAATTATCCGCTCATGGCCCATCTTTCTTCATCTCTCTCTCCACGCATTTCGTGGCCCCCACACAAACTCTGACTATTCTGAAGTAAATCCCAGTTGGGATATCATTTCAGGCTCGAAATGTCGCAGGACGATATTCATCCTGCTGTGATTTGTGTAGTGTTTCTTCATGGACGAGTTCTTCCATGACTGAGCTGTCTGGCTCCCAACCGGGTGGTACGTTCTCTTCAGTGTCCGATGTCTCTTCAAGGTGCCTGGAACGCAGGTGGGATTCTCACTGGACTATCTCCTACCTTCGAGCGCTCGGCCTGGCTTGGGGATGGGCAGGCACAGCTGCCTGGATGCCCCCTGTGTGGTCTTAGTGGAGGTGGGGAATGGGCAGGATGTGCTGTTAGACCATGTGTCTGGACTTGGGGTCACCCCCAAGCACCCAGTGATCAGGTGACCTCCAGGGCTGGGGATGGAGGGATGCACACGTCTGTTCTGCTGGTGGCTCCTCCCGCGTCTCTCAAATGATCACCCTGAGGTTGTCCCTGAACGCCCGAGCTCCTTGCTGCTCCCACCTTCTGGGTGATTCCACATCACACTCTCCCACCAGGAAGTCCTTCAGTCAAACACTGTGCCCTGTGTCTCACCGACTCTTTATCTTTTCAGCTCCACAGAGACACAGAGTTGCCTCCCCCATTTCTTTCTCAAGTACAATATATATTTACAATATTTAAGGTAATATATTTCCTTTTTCATTTCTAGGATTTTGCATGATAGGGGAAACTGTAGCATCCACCCCCAGTCAATTTCTTGAAATCAGAATCTTATA